AGCCTATTAAGCATAAATATTAACAGAGGGCAATAACTAAACAACATAAAGTGCAGAGTACAAGTTTTTGTGCACTGCACTTCTTCTCAATGAGATCAATCATCCCATGAAGTTTTAAGTCAATAGCTTTCAAAGTGTGGGAAAATTTGCTGGGACAAAAATAAAGTGTAAAAATAAACAAAGGGCAATAACCCAAAATCATGAAATACAGAATACCGGTTCTTGTGCACTGCACTTCTTCTCAATGAGATCTATCATACTATGAAGTTTCAATTCATAGCTTTTATAGTTTAGGAAAAGTGGTCCGGAAAAAATAAAGAATGAAAATTAACAAAGGACAATAACTCAAAACATCATAAAGTACAGAGTACTAGTTATTGTGCAATGCACTTTTATTCATCCTATGAAAATTCAAGTCAATGGCTTTTATTGTTTAGGAGAAATGGCCCGGAAAATAAAAGTATGAAAATTAACAAAGGGCAATAACTTAAAAAATCACAAGTGCAAAGTTCTAGTTCTTGTGTACTGCACTTTTTCTCAACGAGATCTATCATCCTATGAAATTTCAAGTCCATACCTTACATAGTTTAGGAGAAATGGCCTGGACAAAAATTAAGTATGAAAATCAACAAAGGACAGTACCTCAAAAATAAGAAGTGCAGAGTAACGATTCCTGTGCACCGCATTTTGAGTCATTGGAAAAAGTATGCATACTAACTTTAGAGTCAATTCGACTTATAGTGACTGAGTTATGTTCCGGACAAGCCTAAGGGAACGCCGCCGACAAAAGTAACCTCTATAAACTGTTTTCAGCTTCTGATATTCTGAAATGTCAATGTAAATATGAAAGACAAAGGTCAAGGTCACTGTTGTTCAGATGGATTATTAACTCCGTGTCATATTTTAGCTTTTTCGCGAATGGACGACAAAAGAAAGGCATTTGAGTTTTGCCGCTTATATGTATTGTCGCTTGTTCGCGTTAGCAAAAATAATTGTAAATAAAATATTTATATTATATTCATATCATTGTAAGTTCAGTAATGAATCAATTTGCTTGATATATTTGAAACTATTTTACCCTTGCTGTGGCATCTGATTAACATGAAATGTCAAAATGACATTTATCCCCTCTCCCTATACCATCTAGTCTTGTAATATTTCCAGGAAAATTACGATTTCTCACCTCAATCTCTCAGAAACATGCTAAAACTTTCGACTTTGAACACCGATTTAAAGCTTTATACTTGTATAATGATATGCGAGCAAATCCCCTTAATACTTTGAAGAATGATCAATGAGCTCAAAAAATAAATAATATATGTTCTTAAATAATTTAGGAAAAAAACTACATAGAAATCGCCATTGGTTTTGTTTCCTCATTGTTCGGCAAGATGCTTACTCGTTGTACGCTTGCTTTGAAAAATACATTAAATCAATTTTATATGTTCTTATCAAATCAAACGTGTTCTCATCAAATATTCATTCATTTTTTGTTACTAAGATAGTTATTTTGCATAAAATAGAGGGTTTGCAGGAATTTTAGATGTAAAACTTCGAAATCGTTGTTTGAAGTCGACAAACAAGACAGTTTTTGAAAAAAAAATCGAAGCGAGAAATATAATTGATTAAAAAAATAGGTTTTGCCACAAGAAACATACCAGGACAAAAAACAATTTCATTTAAGTTCCATTCGTAAAAATACACATTTCTTTAGTGATCGATCTTTACTAAAATGTTTTACCTGTGTTTAAGTTTTAATCCGCGGTTTGTCGTGTAGCGGAGTTATAACATACACTGGAGTGTACACTGTGAATTTGCTATTTTTGCACACATTTGTTTATTTGTGCATTATCAATTTGCCGTATGCCACTTAAGATCATTGTAGTGTTCGTGCAGACGATTGAAATATCTATTTATATTTGACTGAACACTATATTACAGCGTTTTTTCAATATATTGCATATGCATTGCGAGATAATTTTAGTAAACAAATATAGTTTTCTTCACTTACTTCCACCCATAATATCAAAACATTAGATCGAAAATGTCAATTTTAACAAAATAGGTAATTAAGCGTTTGAACTTAACATCTAGACATCGCTTAATGTGAATGCATGGGAAAAAGCATTGTGGTAACCGCCACATTTAAGTTATTTTTATTCAGCATTTAGGCCTGTCACTGTGGGTTTAGGGATTTGTCGCAATGAATGACACTGTTTGTTAAGGAAAGCTAATGGCTCCTATAGAATTTACTCGTTGTTAATTAAAGTCATTGGTTGCTATGATAGGTTATTTAAGAAAGTCAATTGTAATGGAAATCACTGTTTGCTATTAAAATCAATGGTTGCTTGTGGAAGTCAGTAAAAGGGTCACAGGTTACTACAGATACTACATGTTGCAATCAGTGGTTGCTATAGAAATCACTGGATGTTTAGTGAAGTCAATTGCCCCTTTATATGTCATTGGTTGTGTTTTTTTTAATTGTATATCTTTTGCATATATACAAAAACACATGACACCCGAGACTTGACTAATTTTGGCCCTTGGCTCATGACTTTAACATCTTTGGAAACATTACATTAGTCAAATTCAGGCCAAATATTTAAGCCATTTTCATCTAGACCCTCAGACCGGGCGTTTGTTTTATATTTCCTTGTACATAAAATGATTTTTTACCCTATGGACATGATCTTAACAACTTTGGAAACACTCCGTCAAATACAGGCCAAATATCTAACTTTTAGCAATTTTTATTTAAAGTAAAGGATCAACAGACCGATGGAAACTTGATGGGCTTTTATTATAATATTTTCTTGTTCATCACGTGATGCAAAATAAGATAAACCCAGCTGATCATTAGATTAGAAAATTTGTCAGTTTGGAAAATTAGGTTTGGAATGCCTTCGTTCACCAGTAATAACTACATAACAAAGCCTGCAGAGAATATTGTCAATGCTTATTTACATTTTTTCATGTAATGCAATCATATTCAACAAATAATACATGGGCTTGAGGGCAATATGCAAGTTTACGGACTGGTTGGTCAGACTGAGGATGGTATATGGCCCGAAGCGCAGCTGAGGGCCATATTCCTTCCGAGGTCTGACCAACCAGTCCGTAAACTTGCATTTTGCCCGAAAGGCCATGTTTTATTTGTTATATTATACCGAATCTAAATCCTTTCATCCATTTGGTTTTTTTTGCTGTCATTTTACTATTATTTGCTTTCAAATAATAATTTTACTTGTTCAGTGTGTGAAATATCTCAAACCCTAGTCGATTTTGTTTTATTATTTTCAAGCGATGCAGCAAATAATCATGCTCTTCTTTTAATATTCCATTTTTGATAATCAAATGAAATATTTAATTTTACTAGGCAAAAAACCCGGACTTTAAAAATTTCACAAACTGTATAAATAAAATATATAATTAAATTAAAGACAAATCATGACTTTTGATCAACATGTAATTAATTTATGTCTCTGATAAAAAAGTGAGTCGCCTGGTCATTTAGACAGTCATCGTCTGTTTGTGTCGTCGCGAAATTCGCACGTCGTGAAAGTTACGTTTAAACGGTCTTCATAAGAATTATGGACCGTCCCCGGTCTGTATGCGGTTTATGGACCGGATGACGTCATATTAAATAAAGAAGAGCATATGCAAATGAGGTATAATATTAAAGATTATAGATGCATGTTTATATTACGATATGGTTATATATAAAATAACTTTATTAAAGAGGTTATATCTACTATATTTTATCAAGATAATAATTCTATCCTGTACCACATGATTACAGAGTGGATGATCACGTGATGTTTGTTTATTCGTCATTAGATCATCGCTTTGGCTAATTTTTCGTTATATCTTTTTTCATATTTGAATAATAAGCTTATACCATGTTTAAGGTAAACATGTGCCAATTCATAAAGTATGGTACATATATTTCAGTTGTTCACTTATACTTTTCCCGATATGCTTGCAAACAGTTGTGACAAATATTTTCATCAGAATATTGCCGCACAGAAAATTTTTATCCGCCATCTTGGATATTTGTCTCACAACGTTAGGGGGCAGGGGACATATTCGAATGATGGCCCCGGTCAAATTTTTTAATAACTCAGACATGGTGTTTTGAAGGTACTGATAACTTCTGATATTTCTCTGTCATTGTAATTCTTTCTTGTTTGTGTGCAGGAAATGAGATACATTTTTGGGTTTTTACCCGAAACTAAGCATTTTGGTAGCTTTGTATGTATTTCTGACTCTCCGAATGGAGGTGAAAAAGTTAAAAATCAAGCTTTGACAGTTGGCGCCAAACAAGTAAGAAATTTCAGATAAATTTTGTGAAAAATCTAAACGTATGACAGACACTTTATTTGTCATTTCTGAAAATGCCATAGCTTGCACTGCGTGTTACTGATATTTTTAAAGGAATCGGGCGGATTCTGGAGTATGCTGCACCTTCATGAAGATTGCCTATATTGGTATATTTTAGGTGTGATTTTGGCTGGGTGGGGGTAAATATAAATTGCTGTCAGTCATTTTTTGAAGGAGCAATGCATGCAAACTATTATTTTCTTCAATGTATGTCATATATCATTGAATAATGCTGTGCAACTGGTTATCTGCCTGTGAAACAGATTTTGAAATATTTGGAATTGTGTTTCTGGTCACACTGAAATACAAAATTTTTCATTATTAGGTCCCCTGCCCCCTTATACACACTAAAATGATAGATAAAATCAAAGCACAGATGGCGCTGAATTTGTTTGGGTCTCAGAATGTCAGAAAAGTGAAGGTTGTGAGATTATAAACCAATTTGTTTTTGTAAAGTGCCACCAATGCTTTCCAGTGTTTTAACTGTAATTAATTGGCTATAATTAGACTAATTGCAACACTGATAGTCAATTCAATATAAAATATAAAATTCATATAAAAAATGAGTTGCAAGTCTGACGACCCAAACAAATAAAAACTGGAATGTGAAATAAACTTACCGTCTAATATATACAATGCATTTCCATCTCTTTTGTCTCTATCTATTATGTTTTGATACTTAATTTGTGTTGGTTTTTTGATCCAATTATCCTGTCTCTAACTCTAGGCATTCGTACTTTTGTAAATAATTCCTTATCAACAGCTATTAAATATTCTAAAATACATATCCCGTCATGATATGCAATATGTATATCGTCAATCCACAGCCTTAACGACAAGATTTTATAATCGATATCTATTTTTACAATATAAATTTACTCCTATAAAATATCAATGTTTAATCATGTAAACTGCGTCATTTCTTTGGTCATCAAGTGGTTTGATAATAAATATTTCATGAGTGGCAGTTGTACGCGTGAAGCATTAGAATATTCATACAACAGGATGAAAATAAATCGTGAATATTTAAGGAAAAAATGAATTTTCTGTTTATCATATACATTTGTTCCCTTTTTTTTGACACTACAATTTGAAATACTTCCCCTAATAGTTTATGCATAGGCTGAATTTAGAAGGCAGTAGTTCGGCAAATAAAAATACTGAAAATATGTTTCACTGCGGTGAAAAATAAATGTGTACAGTGAAAATATGGAAAATGAAAATACGCATATTTCATCAATATTTTATATATAAGAATACAATAAATTGCGCTATTATTACACAACACAATGGAGAAAGTCTTAGTAAAGTTAATAACTTTTATTACACAGCTATCACCCGTGTACAAGTGTAAGGAAAAACGAGTGAACGAGCATTTCCGAGATAGAGCGGAAGGCCGATGCTAACGGCTGATTGTAAGTATTGTTTGTGTTTTTGTCTTGTAATTTAGATAAGATTTTTTTAATCGAGCAACGTAGTTCCGTGTAGGATAGTTTCAGGTTTACAATGATCTTAGCTGTTACAAAAATATAATTATATATATTTTAAACCCGGGAGAACTTTTTCCCTGAGGAAGTCAAAAATTTGTTAAATGTTGAACTTCCAAAAAAATATGAATGCTCCACCCTTTGGATTTCTTGAAAAAAGGTGTATAAGAAAAATACCAACCCTTCGTGCAACATAAATAGAGAATACCATGCTAGTGTCTGATATTATAAAATTTATCAGGCAAGGCTAAGAAAAAAAATGAAGGGCGAGGCTCTGCCGAGCTCTTCATTTTTTTTCGTGCCGAGCCTGATAAATTTTATAATATCAGACACTTGTTTGGTATTCTATTTATCATGTTGTCAATTTCAATTGTTGTTTGATTTTTTTTTATTTTAATTGAAGCAAAACCCTATCCAGAACCTCTGGTGTTCAGACGGCGCGCAATAATATGTGAAATGTCAAATCAAAACGAAATAGTCCCGAATGTTTTAGTTTATTGTAAGTGACGCGTTCATATTCAAAATTTCTATTCGATTCAAAGTTTATCAGTTAAATATTTTCAACCCAGTAGCAGGAAAAAATATTCCATTCTTTTTATTTCATTTCGCAAATTTCGCATATTTTTGATATTTTGGTTTCATGTCGCCATCTTGAATTTACCGACGTATGGACTACGAACGTTGAACGAGCGTAATCGATAGATGAAAATTGGATAAAATGTCTGGGTTAAATGGATTTATCAATTCACAAAATAAGATTACGTGTTTTTATTCAATATCAAGCGTTTCATGAGACACATCAGTGTTACATTAATGAACAGGATATGAGAAAACACAAAGTAAACAAGATTTGAAAATGTCGTTGAACAGTGTTGAACAGCTGATTTCACGGAAAATGGAAATTTTAAGTTTGCCAGTTCATCGTCAAGTGTTTATATTTTTTAAAATGAATTTACCGACTTGAATAAACATTCAGGTTGTTGACATGCAATACTGCGCCATAAAATATGGAATTTAAGCTGTTGCTGGATAAAGCAATCTGCTGTGATGAGTGGGTGGGGTAACTGATTTGGCCAGGATTCATTTGGCTATGTGACTCCGTTGAAACTGCAGAATGAGATATGGAAATGGACTCTAATGACTTATTTGTAACAGTGCCAGTTTGATATGTAAAAGGCGATGGAGAATCTGACCGTGTAACTGTAGCTGATGGTCCAGTGGATGGATTGCGGACTGATAATTTATTAAAAAGTGTGAAGCAATACAACAAAATAAAAATAAAACAGTAACAACTTGTTTTGTGTTTTTAAAATGTTTTATTTTTATCGTATCAAAATATGTAGTATTTGTAGTATCCAATGTAAACAGTAGACAGGAAATGACCCGAAAAAAGTAGTTCCGTCAAGGTCAAAATGTGTATTGATGAGGTGTCTGATAAAGCTTGGGGTGACTGATAAAGCTAGGTTTATCAGGCATGCACTTTATCAACAGAAAGCAATGTAATGACATGATAAAATCATAAACAATACTTACAATTAGCCGTTAAAATCAGCCTTCTGCTCTATCTCTGAAATGTCGTTCTATCATTTTTCCGTACACCACAACTTTGAAGTAGAGCGACATGTGCGACAGTTTGCCAAGTTATAAGTTTTATTTTTCAACTAGGCCCATTTGGGCGTCAGTTTTATGAACAGCAAATGTCACAAAAATGAGCATTAACAACAAAATAATACAACTGTGTGACAAACTAAATTAAATTATAAATACAAAACTAAGACTAGAGACACTTATTTATGACTTATGATGATGAGAGTCTAGAAAGAGATGAAATACTAGTAACATGATTCAACCGCGCCAAGAAAATCCCTGACAATAAACATACAGGAAGTGACAAGGTGCCATGGCGTAACCACAATGTGGGGCCGATATATATATTGATAATCAAGTTTAATCAGGCGTCTACCATGCGTATTGATCACGTGATCCTTTGAAGCACGTGGTAGTATGTCAGGTAGTTGTCATTATCAATCTAAAACATCAGATATATTTGATGAGCGACTGTTTAAATATCCAATCACAAAGCATTTTCTAATGGTTTATACCTTTCTAAGCCTGATTCTATTTTATAAAAAAAGAAAAACAACAACAATATCTGTATTTTACCGTAGAGCTTAAAGGCGTAATACATGTATAAGCGCAGCAAATATAAGAATCTTCATTAAAATTAAAAAGTTTCTAGGTTTAACCCACATAATCCCGATTTTGTATATTTGAGCCGCGTCACGACAAAACCAACATAATGCGTTTGCGACCAGCATGGATCCAGACCAGCCTGCGCATCCGCGCAGTCTGTCAGGATCCATGCTGTTCGCTTACCAACTCTGTTACAAGTAGAGAAACTGATAGCGAACAGCATGGATCCTGATCAGACTGCGCGGATGCGCAGGCTGGTCTGGATCCATGCTGGTCGCAAACGCATTATGTTGGTTTTGTCGTGACGCGGCTCATTTATATTACTTTAATGCTGTTCTGATTATGAAGGGATTTCTTATCTTTTCAATCTTATCTTTAAAAGCATCAAAGCCTGATGCATGCTTCATTTTAGTGTTATATTTTTTCAGGTTATTTGGATATACATGTATTGATATTCCCATACTATAAAGTGATACTGTTAGGTCATGTTATTTTTAAGGTTTGTCATTTTGATCAGTCTACTTGGAAATATCTTTACAATTATTCTCTTATGATAAATATAAGGAATGTTGTAATTTTGCAAGTATATTTGTATTCATTATAACACTATTTGTCATACACTTGTCACATTATGAAAACATCCTTACTCATAATTGTATGTGTAGCATCTTTTTTATACCAACCAGCCTAACTAAAGAGAGTCAAAACTTACTTTTAAAAGAAATGAAAATACATTAAAATGTAGAGAAAAAAAACACACTGTTATCATCGCGTTAGTTAAGGCTCCTGCTTAGAATTCCGTTTAGTATTGAGTTACCTGCTTTTGGAAGGATTTGTATGTAAATTGTAAATTGATACGTTGCATAACTATTATCAGAAAAAAAGTCAAGCATTAATTATTGCAGGTCCATTTCCCCTTATTTATAACACTAAACATGCACGGGACTGGCTGCCAGGAGTATCTGTATCCGGGGAGCTACCTGAAAACCCGGCAGATTGTTAATACCCGAATAAATAGTCACCTCAAGCCCGATTTTCCGAGGCGTGCCTGCATTTGCTATAAAATAGATATATATGTCGGTACATACATTTTTGCTTATTTTGGTAATTTACTTTATTTCTTTGTCAACTAATGGTGAATCATATATAAAAGAACACTGAATGTAAGGTATACATTTTCCCTTTTAAATAAAGATTATCCTAGGACAAGATATAAGTTATATAATCCTATAGTTTGAAGGCACTTTTTGGTGACAGACGACAAAATCTCAGCATTAATACGTTCAAAAAAAGTCTAAGAGTGAAAGACAGTACGCAGTTGAACATAATAATAATTTCGGTTATAGAAAATTTCAAATATCATCCAATAATGATAGAAAATATTAATCGGAACAGCTAAACTATTATTCTTTATAATCTCAGACATGATACGGAGTGAAAGTAGTTCTATATGAGCCGTGTGACGACAAAACCAACATAATGGGTTTGCAACCAGCATGGATCAAGACCAGCCTCCGCATCCGCGCAGTCTGACCAGGATCCATGCTGTTCGCTTCTAAACCTTTTAACAAGTAGTGAAACTGAAAGCGAACTGCATGGATCCTTATCAGACTGCGCGGATCTTGATAATAAACAGCCAATGAAAACGTTTTGCATCCCAAGGAAAAAAAAGTCTATTTCGGTTAAACTATGATGACCGAAAATTTGTCTGACAAAAATAGTCAATTAAAAGATAAAAGATCCTAATAGGGACCAATAAGAATGAGCTTTTCATTACAATACTTTTTATTTTTTCTAGACGGTATTATTAGACAATTTCTTTAGTGCCACATCCCCTCTTTGCTTTTTTTGCCAAAATGACATATAAAGAGGAATTATTTTTTTGCATAAGAAAGAAGTATTTTTGAAGTAATTATTTGTATTTTTACTATAATTTTTAACCTAAAAAATTTACAAAGTGAATTTAAGAAAAAAGTTATCATGGTATATTTTTTCGTCTTTAAATAGATAAATGCATGCACGTTAAATAACCTCCCCTTTTTACATGCTCAATAATATAACATATTTTAACAACTAAAACCAGTGTCTATTAGTAGGATATAGTAGGATATCTAAAAATAGAGAAAAAGAAAAAAAAAGATCTTTAGA